GGCCAGGACGCTTCCGTGTTCCAGGCAGAGGTGTACGCAATCCTGTTATGCGCTATGCATATAACCAAAAGAGATTGCACTGGGCAGCATATCTATATCTGCAGTGACAGCTATGCTGCCTTAACGGCTCTTTCGTAAGTGGCTACCTGTTCAAAACTCGTGGACCACTGCAGAAGGGTACTAAAACAAGCGGCATGCCGCAACAAACTGAAGCTGCTAAAGGTACCAAGTCACTGCGGTATACGCGGCAACACCGAAGCTGACAGGCTGGCCCGTATTGGCGCCAGCGGCGGAGGTGACAGGGGCCCAGTGGAGATAAACGCTCCCGGGGAACTTGTGAAGGCGCTGGGGGACAAGTGACTGCACAACAGATTCACCAGCTACTGGGCGGAGACCTCGGGGATGAGGCACAACAGAGCGTTCATCAGGAAACCCACAACTCAAGTGAGTAGGGACCTGATCGAACTGGATAAAAGAAGGCTAAGAGTGGCCGTGGGCACCGTCACAGGGCACTGGCTAACTCGACGCCATATGAAGATGCTGGGACGCGGAGAGGAATCCGCGTGCCGGTGGTGTGGTGAGGAGGAAGAGACGCCTCTCCACATGATAAGGGAATGCTCGGGGCTAAGGGAACCCAGGCCTTGAGAAATGGAAGGTACTTATATAATTTGTCAATTTATTCAATCATTTTATATTAAATTTAAATAATTTGTTATAATATCAATTTATATATCGGATGACATTGTCAGAATATTTGTAGGCAGTAGTTGAACGCACAAATATTCGACGGGAGCTGAGACAACGTGGCTCATAATTTGGAAGTGTAGAAAACCAAAGTTAGAGAGATACCAGCAAATGTAAATTTTCTTAAATATAAATAAAAGTTATACTTATAACTTCAGGAATGATTTTTGAATTCTTTAATTGACCCTGATTATTTTATTTTAAAATAATTGAATTGAGTAGTGATTTATATTAAAATTTATTAATAAATTTATATTCATATTATATTTATATTTAAATTCAGTTAAATTGAGGTATTCATTAAAAATACTGATTTATTTTTATAAAAACTTAAGTAATAAAACTTTTTTTTTTCATTGCACGAAAGTTGTTTATGTTTATTAAAGAAGAGAATAATACTGACAGACATTATTTTTGAAGTTTTTCAACTTTTTAATAATTCAATTTTCAAATTTTTTTCACTTGGATTACGTTATTACGCTAACATTAAGATAAAAATGTTATTATTATTAGATTATAAGGCTAAATATACTTATTTATGTTGTGGGAATTACATGACATTACATAAGCCAGAAAGAAGACTTTTTTTTGTATAAGCATTTTGAATTTTTGATTGAAAACAGTGTAATTACTGTCATCTATCAGAAAACAGTGACACTAGTTGAATTTTTTTTCTACTATACCGACGCAAGATAACTTACCAGTCCTAATTTCTTAAGTTGACTGTTCAACGTAACGATAAACATTAAAAAAAGAAAAATTTTTATAATTTGATTGGATATTAAATGATTGAAAATAAAAAAAAACCAATTTTAAAAGATTAAAAGAATAAAGCTTATTTTTAAAATGATCATTAGATAAAAAATCTGGGCATCATAGAATTTGATTAACAATCAGTAAGATTATACATTTAAAGATTTAAATTTAAAAGATTGTAAAAATGCCTTTGACTGACATCTTATTGCGACGGATGTCACGCTCCCTGACTGCTGACAACATAAAGTAGTCGCACAACTAGTCATAACTAGAGATGCAGGATGACCGTCATTTATGATTATGGTCACAGAACGGTCATACGACCGTCATGTGACTGACCGTCTCAAATGACCGCCGGTTTTGAAATGCCAATTTACCGTCAGGAATTTTTTGGTCACAAATTTGGTCATCTGCATCTAGCTAGATGAGTTGGACCGTAATTTAAAATTCGGTCACTTAAAACGGAGTGGTCATCAATTTGGTCATCTGCATCTAGCTTGATGGTATAAGACAGCCAAACCTTCTGAACAATATACTGGTTCTTGTTTCTGGTCCGAAGGATGGAGATCATTGCTTTGTACTTGTGATAACTGTAAAAAAATGTATGAAGAACAACAGGTTTCATTTCTGCTTGATCTAGCTGATAGTGTGCAAGATATTAAAGATTTTTTCTCTGGAATGTCGTTAAGACAGCAATATTACTATTTTTGTAGACTTAACTTTTTTTTTTTTCATTTATAATATTTAAATAATCAATAAAATAATGCCAATTATCATAATGTTGTATAAAATAATAAACATAAATAAATCATCAATATCTCAAGATAATTAAAACTTGTTATTCATTTATTCAAAATTTTTTCTTAAAAATATTTTTATAGAAAATTGTAAAAAATTTTGCAATAATATAACTTTTATTATTTTAAAAAAATACAAAACTTTTCTTACATGTTAAATATTGAACTATATAAATAACATATGAATCACTTTTTTTCGAATAAGAATATATATAAATATATAAGCAAATCAACTTATTTATATTCAATACCAATAGTTTTAGAATAATTTATAATTAAAAGATCTATTTTTCAAGTTTATTGATATAATAAATCTCTAATATTATTTTATTTACATACCTTGCGTTATGTTACATTACAATTCAACATACATAAATAATGTATGTATAAATAATTGTCGATAAAATGGATGAAGGCTACTAGAGTGTCATACAATTATCCGTTAGATGTCGCGACTAACCCCCGGTCATTTTAGTGATGATCAGCTGACGGTCTTATGACCGTGACATGACGGTCATAAATGACCAATTCGGTCACGCTCGCATCTCTAGTCATAACATGAGGGTACAAAACTTCCATCCATACAATCATGAATCGATGAATTTCCCTGCCGGAAAGAAGTACTACAATGATAAATGTCATAAAAATTTTCAAAAATTAAGAAATAAATTCTCAAAAATGTAATTTAAAATAAAAAAATGTCCACCATTAAAAACTGATGTAAAAAAATTCGCAAGCTCGGCATAGATCCGACTAAAGCTCAACGCCGTAGATGCAATCTTTGATGAATATTTTAAATATTAACACGACCTGATGGCCGTCAGCTGATTGTTGAGGAACATTGAATCAAATAGCAGAAAAGTTAAAAAAGATAATTTACTCAGTTCACCATCGCCGACCAATGAAAAAATATTCTGAAGCTCCGCGTAGATCCAACTGAAGCTTAACGTCGTGGCTACTCTTTTCAATTATCATTTACATTATCAACGCAGTCTTATAGCTGATAATTAATCATTTTGCAAAATTCAGAAAAGTATGAAAAAGATTTAAAGACAATAATTAACTCGGTCCACCATCACCGAAAATTAACAAAAAACTCTCAAGCTTCGCGCAGACCTAACTGATGCTCAACGTCGTGGCGACAGTTTCTAAAAATCATTTACATGGTCAATGCAGTCTGATATTCGTTAATTAATCATGTAGAAAAATTCAGAAGAGCATAGAAGAGAGTTAGGGACAATAATTAAGTCGGTCCACCATTACAGACAAATAAAAAAAAACCCAAGCTATGCGTAGATCTAACTGATGCTGAACGTCGTGGCTACGGTATTTAATGATCATTTACATCATTATTGCAGCGCAATAGTCGTTAACAAATCATTCAGAAATATCCAGTAGAGCATAAAGAAGGGTTCAGGATAATAGTTAACTCGGTCCACCATTTCAGATAAATATAAAAAAAACCAAAGCGTTAGCAAATCTACGTTATGCCGAACGTCGTAGGTACAGTCTTTAATAAGCTTTTTCTTTATCAATGCGGTCTGATAGCTGTCATTTGATTAGTCAGAAATATTAAGTAGAGAATTGAGAAGAGTTAGGGACAATAATTAACTCGGTCCACCATCACAGACAAATATGAAGAAATACCAAAGCGTTGCGCTTAGAGATTTTTTTCTTCCTATTTATGATGGTGGATGATGTGGACCAAGTTAATTATTGTCCCTCACTCTTCTCAATGCTCTACTGAATATTACTAAACGATCAAATGACAGCTATTAGACTGCATTAATCATGTAAATGATCATCAAATACCGAAGCAACGACGTTAAGCACCAGTTAGATCTGCGCAACGCTTTGGTATTTCTTTCTATTTGTCTGTGATGGTGGGCCGAGTAAATTATTGTCCCTAACTCTTCTCAATGATCTACTGCATATTTCTGAACGATCAAATGACAGCTATTAGACTGCATTAATCATGTTAATGATCACTAAATACCGAAGCCACGACGTTAAGCACGAGTTAGATCTGCACAACGGTTGGGTATTGTTTTTTACTTGTCTGTGATGATAGACCGAGTAAATTATTGTCCCTAACTCTTCTTAATGCTCTACTGAATATTACTAATCAATCAAATGACAGCTATTAGACTGCATTAATCATGTTAATGATCACTAAATACCGAAGCCACGACGTTTAGCGTCAGTTAGGTCTAGGCGTAGGTTGCAAATATTTACATTTGATCTGTGATGTTGAACCGAGTGAAATTTCGCCTTTATCTTACCCTAATGCTGGTTTTAACACATTAAGCTACGATTGCATCACATATGTTGATTGTTTTAAGAATAAATAAAAAAAATATTTATTTTGGGTACATTTATTTTTTAGTTTGTAATTTGTAGTCATTTTGTTCATATTGAAACTTTTTACACCTTCCGATAGAAGGCGGGCTGAGAGTTAGCCAAAGAAGAGACAATCCCTCTTGGATGACCACTACCCTTTACTGCCATACATATAATATATAAAAGTATAAAAATATAATCAAGTCTTAATACAATATAGTAACACTCTGAATATACCGCCAGGCGGGAACTTCAAACTACTATTTTTACTGGAGTTGAAAGAAAGAATGTAACTGAAAGATATTCTAAGGTTTTTTAACACAACTAAAAAGTCTAAAATATAAATGCGAACTCAAAACAACGTTAAATACTAATGTCAATAGAATTTATAAACTTAGCAATCGCTTCAATTACTCCACGTTTCATTGAATGTAAACAATATTCTAAACTATACGGTGGGAAACATTCAACTTTAACTAAATCTTTAATAAAACATTCTCTTGTAACACTAAATCTTTGGCATTGCCAAAAAATATGGTTTTCATCTTCTTCAAACTCTCCACATTTACAGGTACGACATGATACAATATTAAATCTATTTAAACTAGTGGCGAGAGAAGTGTGACCACTTCTTAGCCTATTTATAGATACCACAGATTTTCTCCTGAATCTGTAACCGTGAAACCGAGGATACGCACTCTCTTTATAATAATTGTTGAAATAATTAATCCCTGTAACTTTACCAGTCTCATTACACCAATTATGAAACTCTGATCTAATTTTCTCTTTCCAAGAAGCCTTCAAGTCCGAACTCGGAATGCTCAGCACACAATCTCTACCATTAATTACACTATCTTTAGCCATTTCATCTACAATTTCGTTATTGACTATACCTTTATGGGCAGGTATCCAATAAAAACTTATTTGTTTGTTAGAAGAAGCAAGCTCTAACAGTAAACTTTTGATGCTGAAAATTATCGTAGATTTTTTCCATGGTTCAGTTTTGGACTCCAAAGCCTTCAATACACTCATTGAATCCGAAAAAATTGCAAAGTACTCACTGGAGCTCTCTTTAATGCTAACCAATACCTGCCAAATTGCCATTGCTTCGGCTGTGAAAATGGATGCATATTTACTAGTTCTGAATCTTCCTTTAATTTCGTCTTTTGGTCTATAAGAGGCTAAACCCACAAATAGTTCACCTTTGCTTTTAGAACCATCAGTAAACCAGCATTCTGCTTGCTCAATCACTTCCTTAAAAAGCTCCAAAAATGTCTTCATCTTGTTAGATGAATTTTTAATTTTCAATCCTTCATCAAAAGACACATTAGCTCTTATTAACACTGACTCAAGCGGAAAACTATAACAACTTGGCTTATCCGACTGAAATAACAAATGACCAATAGGTACGACTTCTTTAAAACAACTGATTATCAAAGGTTCCGCCGTTTTAGTAATTCTTCCAGGATTTTCTCTAGACTCATTTAATATCTCAAGTAACTTTGGCAGTGGATGATGTTCCAATGAAAACGTGCGAGCAATATAATTAAGACCCAAGTATTTAAAACGAAGATCCAGTGGTAATTCTTTAGCTTCAGCCAACAGTAAATTTGTTGGCGTAGATTTTCTATAGCCCATCACAATTTTAACTACACTAAATTGCAGACGGTCTAACACCAATTTAAGTTTCGGCTCTAAAGGGCAGAAAAGGAAAGCTCCATATTCTATCCTCGATCCGACCAGCGCTCTATACAAATTCAGTAATACTTTGGGATGCGCACCCCACCAAACTGATCTTAAATACTTTATAATAGCTGCCGGATTAGCGCATTTCTTTTTAATTTCTTCAATTTGCTGAATCCACTCGAGGCCAGAGTCAAAGATGATGCCTAAAAATTTTACCGCCTTAACATCAGAAATAACCTTGCCATTGACCGACATAAACCAATCCTTATTTCTTACTTTCTTGTCATTGCTGAAACCACAAAGTTTGCACTTCTCTGGAGCTAATTGCAAACCACTTTGACTGAAAACTTCTGTCACATTTGTCAAAGACACTTCCAATGACCTTATACTAGCTCTTGGGTCTCTATTCGCACTGTACAGTGCAACATCATCTGCATATTCCAAAACCTTAGAATCCTGACTCAGGCAACTATGAAGTTGTGCCGTGTATATTGCGTATAGAATAGGGCTTAAAATACCGCCCTGTGCTAGGCCTCTCCAAACCTCTCTCTTCTCTGACAAATCACCAAATCTGACGTGTAAGATTCTATGGCTTACAATGTTGTATATAAAATTTAACAAATTTCCTGGAATGCCCAATACTTTTAAAACGCTCTATCAAAACTTCTGACAGCACATTATCATATGCTCCTTTAATATCAAGGAAAATAGCCGCCAAACAATCCTCCCTATCAAAAGCTTGTAAAACTTCTGCTTGCAAAACAGACAGGTTGTCCAAAGTTGAGCGCTGTCTTCTAAATCCAAACTGTGAAGGAGCAAGCTTATGGTGAACTTCCACCCACCAGCACAGTCTATAATTTACCATCCTTTCTAAAGTCTTCAGCATACAGGAAGCCATAAAAATTGGTCTAAATTTGTCACTATTAGCCTTGGGAATGAAAAAAACAGAATAATTTTTCCATTCCACCGGGAAAGATCTCGAGCTAAATATTTCGTTGAATAAAATCAATAAGGATTGCCTCACTGAGACCGACAGCCTTTGAAGAATCCCATAATCTATACCGTCCATACCAGGACTTGATTTTAATTTCACGTTTTTAATAGCCATGTCCAATTCTTCCAACGAAAAAATCAAGTCCAAAGAAGGATCTCCATTAGAATTTTCCAAACCAGGAGAGGCTCCCCTACACCACGAAGGACACAATTGGTCAATGGCTTCCTTAACTCTTTCCATAGAACTCTCTTTATACTCATGACCTGAACCCGGACTATTCCATCTACTTTGGAAGGCTTTGACCTTCTTCCAGACGTACGATTGATTGACATTCTTCGAAAGAGATTCGCAAAATGTAATGAAGCTTTCTCTTTTATTTTTTTCAAGTCTATCTTAGCCTTTGATTTAGCTTTATTATACTCTGTAAAATTATCGGATGAACACCTGCCCTTCACTTGCAGAAATTTCGCCCGACGAACTCTAATCAATTTCTCACAATCCCCATTCCACCATGGAGACGAATTCACAACTGAAGTAATAAACGAAGAGCTTTTATCCTTACCTCTCTTGTCTACACTCTCTCTATTACCTTGAGCTCGAGGAGTTGCTTTGGCGATACAGTTAGAAATCAGATTCACGAACTCAGTATACTTATCTTGGGTGCTAAGACCAATATTCCCAACAATATCTTTAAAAACATGTTCATTCTGCGCCATTAGCTCATCAAACTTTTCCTAGTTGGTTTTAAAATTATGAAGCCTTTATGAACTATGATTATTACTACTGGCTTCTGGCTTTTTATTCAAGGTAATTGAGATTGAAAAATGATCACTACCCCATGGGTCGTCCAACACGGACCATTGATACGATGCAAAGGTATAATGATCCACCAAAGACAAATCTAAACTGTCGTACTTATAACATCTCTTCTTTTGAAAAAAAACGTAGGACTTTCGTCATTGAGCACTCCGAGTTCAGAATCTTCCAATGCTTCTTTTAGCAGATGACCACTTGAACAACAATACGAGCTTCCCCACAGATAATGATGAACATTAAAATCTCCTCCCACAAAAGATCGATCTCCAAATTGGTTAACAAATCGCGACCACTCAGCTTCACGGATACAAACCTCAGGAACCCTGTAACATGACGCAAACAGATACCACTCTTTTTCAATTAACACCTTTATAGCTATACACTCTATCTTACCGTTACAATCAAATATATTATTAACAGTTTGGTATTTAAAATTGTTTCTAATTAATACAGCAACCCCACCATCCGATTGAGCGACTCTATTTTTTCTCATAATATCAAATCCCCTTACAAAAATATTTTTCTCTATATTCAACCAAGTTTCTGATAATAAAATTAAATCATAATCTTTAGCCCTAAACTGAAGCTCAGGAAGCTTCTTTTCAATGCTCCTACAGTTCCATGGCAAAATCCTTAACTTTCTATTTTTGTAAATTCCCATTATTTAATGAAATATGGAGTGAAATTACTTTTCACAGTCTTGGTACTAAGTTTACCACGTCTGGAACATTCGGTATAGCCTCTAGAAGCTCTTTGATGGAAGCTCTACTTTCTTCTGAAACCTCTTCTACTCTCGAACTGGAACCTAATTGCAATATCTTCTTAACCCCTTCTTTTAACGCCACTCTGGAAAATGATTCTTCTTCAACCATCGGAGACAGTCTTGGAAATTGTTTTAATGATTTTTCAGGTACAGATGCTGCCCTTCCTCCTCTCCAGCTTTCTTCAAACGTATTTCTTGCATTAATGAACGACATATTTTCTATCGCCATAATTTTAACCGATCTCTCTTAACTTTGCAATAACCGGACAATCTCGGCTAATACACAAATGATTGCCACCACAATTTATACATTTAGGTGCTACGTTACAATCTTTAAAATTGCCATGTTTAGTTTGACCACAACACAGGCACTTCTCTCTATCTTCTTTGCAAAACTTGCTCGTATGACCTGCTACCCCACATTTCAGACATTGCCTTATACTAGGGATGAAGTAGTCTACTTTAACCTTACAATTCCACAAACTAACCATCTTAGGAACTTGACCGCATCTAAAAGTGACACAAACTGAGAAAGTGTCAGCCCAATCCACTTTGCCATCTGTAAATACTTTACGCCTTAGCCGATATCCATCCTCACACCTGGGGTTACTGGAACAACCATTAATTTCCCTTAACAGATCTTTAACTTCGACATCCAAAGGTATATCTCTTACGATACCTTTACAGAATAGTTTCTCTCTCGGTATGTATGTTTTCCAGTTATTATTCTTTATAATCACATTATCTATCATACTATTGACTTCTTCATACTTATCAAAGGTGATTTGCCAAATTTCTCTAGAAAACTTTTCCAGCAACCTAAACTTTTTAACACCAAACAAATTCAACCGACGAGCCACCTCGATATTCATAAGATTTCTCTTTTTTCTTATCCCCGTTGTTTGTGCCTCTTTATTTCCAGCTTCAAGTACTTCGTTTTTCTTTAAATGTACGATGAACGGGCCTTTATCTGATCCAGTGTAATATATTGGTCTAGCTACAGAACTAGCCGCTTGCGTTGTATAAATACTGTCACTTTTCTTCGTATGACTAGAAACATTACCTGAACCATTATTACTATTGTTCTCTATCTTTCCTTTCTTAGAAACCACAACTTCCATTTCATCTTGACTGCTCTCACCTGTACTAGCACTTTCCCTCGCTCTTATGACACTCCTGCTTCTACTTCTACTTCTTTGAGGAGCGTTACTGCTGTCCGTAATATCTTTCTTATTTCTTTTTTCTTTCTTTTCTCTTTTATTGCCTTTACTTCCTTTACTATTATTAATATTTATATTATCTTTACTATAAGTTTTATTGTCTTTTTTATTATCACCCATAACTATTTCTTTGTCTAAACTGTTCAAAAACCTAACCTCATCCGAGGTTAGTTGTTCGTCTATTCCAATATTCGTATCATCCGCCATCCACCCACTTACTATCAAACAAACAATGCAACTAAAAACAAGTACTAATGAGATAACTTTAAAAATAATAATATTATTGTTGAATGTTTATTTTGTGCGAAAAAGAAAGCCTAAAATCTTTTCGATTCAACTCCGTATACGATATATCAATTATCTCTTCTCAATTTATTAAATAATTGTTTTGTACTACGGAACTCCATCTGACACATACAAAATCACACAAATTTACCATGTCTCGCAAAAGATATCGAAAAAATTATGAATCGTTATGAAAACTCATTTTGTTCGTTTATAATCATGTCATATCTCTGCCATCTAGTGGATTATCTGAGTGATTTATTATTGGAGGTCGTGATTCTACAAGATTTTAAAAACAGGTTTCTTTTTTCCTCCGCCAACATTCGATTCCGGTGGAAACGGTATGTTTTCATTCCAACTCTACCTTCTTTCTTGGGATGGTTGAGTTAAGTGCGTTTTCTTCCGTTCCCACCATCGAAAATATGTGTAGTTATGAAATTTTTCGGAATTTTGAACTCGCCTCTACTCGACCATCTGGTGGAAACGCTTTCATCTCGTTTCAATTTTTTCTCAACTCGGCTCCGGTGGAAACTGAGCCATTGAGTAGGTAACAGGAGAATTTAAAAAAAATGATAATTTTCAGGGATGCACTACAAAAAGGGAGCCTTAGGGCACCAAGAAATTTACAAATTCATTAATAATCTGTTTCAAGCAAGACAGAGCATAAAGTACACTCGGCGTCATTAATGCCTGGTCCATCAAAAACTTTGATACCATCCGAGCAATTATTGATGGAGTAGTTTTTTTTTCAAACAGAGATTTGAGGCTGGACTGAAGTCAGAAAGTTTCCCGGAGTTGACTTTACGCCCTCGTGTGTGCGGCAAAAGGCCGAAGCTTGACATCAACTAAAATTGAGTAGGTAACAGGGAAATCGTTCGAAAAATGATAATTTTCAGGGATGCACTACAAAAAGGGAGCCTTAGGGCACCAAGAAATTTACAAATTTTTGAATAATCTGTTTCGAGCAAGACAGAGCACAGAATATATCTATCTGTCTCCGTCTCATTTTTCAGAGAAGACTGCGAGTTCGAACAGTTGACGAGCAAGTACATTCCCCACCCTCTGTTACTAAGCCTGAAGCTTACGATATCTAAACGTGAACAAAGCAAATGAAAATATGCTAGCTCTCTAGTCAGAAGGTTCGACAGTTATTTTACCGAACGGTGTTCGATTCTAATTGCGGCAAAATTTTTTTTTTATTTAAATTGCAATTTTATCATGCCAAAAATGAGTTTTAAATTTCAATTAATCGATGAAAATGAGAAAATATTTAAACAGGGCCATTCACCTTTTTTGTACAAATACATTGATTTTTCATCACAAATACATATAAACAGCCTTTTTCAACGACTTATTAACAATAAAAAATAGTTTAAAAAATCCGTGTGTAATATTTTTTTTAAAGAATATTGGGACCGCTCGAGAGGCCTGGAACTTGGTACCTGAAGAGAGTTTTTTAAAAATTTTCTTGGGCAATAAAACCCCTTTTGTCCCAGCAGCCTTAATCTCACAAATAGTAGGGACTTTTCGAAGTCCTATCTATCACAGTAGATAGAAATGAGACAAATAACAAAATAATCTTTCCTCTGAGTTCCGTAGAGCAAGCCCACCCCACTTAAGACTTTAAATATGATTTTATCTTCCTCTGAAATAAATGGGTCGGTAGCTTAGGGGTTAAATCTCTGTTCGAGAATCTTTTGGTGACTGGTTCGAATCTCAGCAGTTATAATTAATTAATTAAATAATATTCATTTTATTATTTTGTTTTGTAACAATACTAGTGCCCTTTTTTTATCTGGGTAATGGATAAAAATGCAAATTTTTTTTATCATTTTCTAAGTAATTTTAATAACAACAATGGAAAACTCATAACTATATGACCAAAAGACATGGTGAAATATCTACATAATGCTTGTACTAAGTAATACCAGAATTTAAAAATATAGTATATGTATATATTTATAAGTTGCTCATTGTTGTTATTAAAATTAAATAAAAAATAATAGAAAAAATTTGGGATTTTTATCTATTTCCCAGAAAAGAAAAGGGTACTAGTATTGTTACAAAAAAAAATGTAATAAATTTTATTTAATTAATAAATTAAAAGAAAAAAGCTACTGGCGAGATTCGAACCAGTCACCAAAAAATTCGTAGACAGAGAATTTACCCCTGAGCTATCGTCCTATTTACTAGAATTGACGGTAAAGTAATATTTAAGGCTGGGCTGTAGACAGATTTCCCCCCAGAAAGTTCCTAGCAAATTTTTCTCTACAAATGACGGCGTCAAAAATGGATGAATTTAGTTAATTTAGGACTTAATCGAAAGCTTATTTTATTCTTCACATCGGAAAACAACAATATAATAACATTAATTACTTCATCATAATTAAAAATGAAGATAAAGATATGCACTCATTTTTCACGAGATTTTAGAAGTGTCATGGCGGATACCGCTGTCATCAGCCGTCAACGAGAAAATGAATTATTTCACAATAACCACTGTACCTATACTGTAAATCGTTGTTTTCCAATGTACATACTATTGTTCGGGATATTTAAAAAAATATTTTATAACAAAAAAACGAATAAATAAAACACAGTTTCGCGAGAAAAATTTCAGGTGATCATTCAC